CCCTGTAAAGGTATTTTCCATACTGATTTTACGGAGATGATTTTTACCTTTTTCTTTAATTAAAAGCCTTCTTTTTAAGAACCTGATTGATTTTTCCTTGTTTTTAGATCCAAGGGGGTTGGATCTGTATTCACCAGGAGTTGGTGAAAGGAAGGGGGTGGGGGATGGTTAATTTCTCCTTGTTTTAAGATCCCAAGGGGGCTGGAACTGTACTCACCAGGAGTTGGTGGAAGGAAGGAGGGGGAATGGTTCATTTCTCCCTGCTTTAAGATCCAAGGGGTTTGGACCTGTATTCACCAGGGAATTGGTGAAGAGTTTCTCAAGGCTTCCCAGGGCAGGGAATCCACTTGGGAATGGTGGCAGCGGACCAGATCTAAGCTGGTAGTTAAGCTTAGAAGTTTTCATGCAGGCCCCCACATTTGTACCCTAAAGTTCAGAGTGGGGAAGCAGCCTTGACACCTTATTTTGTTGGATCTCTGCTCATGGGTGAATTTTACCCATACTTTCTTCCTAATACATTTCAGATTTATGTTTGGCAGTATTAAAACTTCCCATTTTTGACTGAGTTGTCGTACTAGAAATGTTTACTTTTTGATGATTCATAGATGCCAAGACCAGAAAGGATCAGTGTGATCATCTAGTGTTACCTCTTGTATGTCACAGGCCAAAGGATCTCCCCCAAATAATTCCTAGAGCTTATCTTTTAGAAAAACATCCTATTTTAGAGAAAAATTGCCACTAGAGGACAATCCAAAATGACCCTTACTAAATTGCTCAGATGGTTAATTACCCTCACTATTAAATGTACATGTTATTCCAGTCTGATATTATCTAACTTCAACTTTGAGTTATAACTGTCTCTGTTGGACTGAAGAACCCATTATTAAATATTTGTTCCCTATTTAGCTACTAAAGGGATCACGGTTACAATCTCAAACCTTCTCTTAGTTAAACTAAATAGATTAAGCTCCTTGAGTCTCACTGGCATGTTTTCTAATCCTTTTAATTATTCTCATGGCTCTTCTCTGAACCCTCTTCAATTTATCAACATCTGTCTTTAATTATGGACACCACAACTGTTCATAGTTTTTCAGCAGCAGTCACACCAGTGCCAAATACAAAGGTAAAAGAACTTTCTACTCCTACACGAGATTTCCATTTTTGTACCCAAGGATTATGTTAGTCCTTTTGGCCACAGCGTTGCACTGGGAGCTCAGGTTCAGCTGATTATCCACCATCTTATTATTCACCCCCAAATCTTATTCAGAGTCACTGTTTCCCAGGTTAGAG